TTTCGGTTACCGGCAACCATGGGAATGCAGCTCCTGATGTTGCTCTACTGCCTTATGGATTAGACTTTATGTCAAAGGCTCGGGGAGTTGTTCCCTAAGACAATGACCTACTTCGGTCTGGGCGCCCGGACAGTATCTCAGCCCTCACATAAAATACAAAATTACAATGTACAATGAAGATTTTGAAGCGATTAACCAACTTTCCTGCGAATATTCAAGTCTTCTGCACTACAAACTCTATGACCAATTGTTCAATTTATTGCTATTGTGTTGTTTTTACGTATGAACTGTACTTTTTATCATTGCTATTTCCGCTTTTGTCTTTATCTTTACTTCACTTCATCGCTTAGACTTCTGGTCTGTCTGTATCGCTTTGAGTTGCCAAACGGTTGCCCCATAAAGCTGTCCTCTTGAGCGTCACCTGACATAGTTATCCTGTAACCGCACGTCCTGTTTCAGCTCACCACCTTCAACCTTCGTACCTTGATGCAGATCAGCCAACAGAAAGGTTTGGCTAAGACTTTGAAAAGCCTGTCTACCGGTGTATTCTGCACCTTAGAGACTTGCATACAAGATGCCAGCGTAGTCCTTCGAATTAGTTTCCTATCTGTCAGCTCAAAAAGTATGTTTCATGTGCGCTTATCCGGGGATCGTGTGGCATCGGGAAACGGACTCGCTGGTGTCGGTGTCGCACTAAGGGCTCGAGCTGAAGCTGCACTACTCGACAGCATCCCCATCAACAGTCGTCAGCGTACTGTTAGGCTAGAAGGTTCACCTTCAGTAAGAAGTAACCGGCGAGATAAACGATGACTCTCTTTGTCATCTCTGCCTATGCTCCGACGGATTGCAATCCGGATGCAACCAAGGATAAATTCTATCATCAACTGAGTGACTTTCTCAACCAAATGCTCCCGACAGATATCATAGAGCTAGTTGGGGACTTCAATGCTAAGATCGAGTGTCTGAACTTAGAGGAGAGTTGCTTAAGTGACCAACGAGGACTAATTGACCACAGGTCAGATAATAGATCACAACATATTTCTAGCCAGCACCAACTTCTGGCACAACCATCGCAGTTGGGCTACTTGGTATCTTCCCTCTGCCACTCAAGCATGGATTCAAATAGATCATATTGCAATCAGCTACTGATGGGGTAAGTGTATACAGGACTGCCAGCCATAGAGTGTACTTGTTTGGACTCTGATCATGCTTTAGTGTGTACTAAGCTCATCTTGCGTTTTGATGGTCATCAAAATTCTCATCCTAAACAGGTCGATGCAAGCAAATTAGTTCCACCTAGTATTGCAGCCAAACATGAATCCAGGTTAGATTTAAGGCTGGCTACCGATCCTCCAGAAAGTCTAGACGAGCATTAGGTGCACCTGCAAGACACCATGGAAATAGTGAACTTCGCTGGCTCACTGCTTCAGCATCTTCAGTTTCAATGTATCGGGCTCCATGGACAGTTAACACTGACCCACCTAACAAAACGGAGGTCCATAGGGAACTCCAAGTTCTGAAACATCACAAGGCACCCGGCCTAGACAATTTACCCCCGGCTCTTTTTAACGATGGAGGAACGACTCTAGTCAGGGAACTGATTAAATTGCTTGAAGAGGTATGGCAGACTAGGTGTTCCACCACTCTGGAAATGAAGCCATCGTTGTGCCCATCTTTTGAAAGGGTCTATGTAATGTATGTGACAATCATCATTGTATTAGTCCGTTACCAGTTGCGCCGAAAATATCGGCTGCTATCATACTTCACAGACAGCAAAACGCGTGAGGAAATGATTCGCGAGGAACAGGTCGGGTTTCCTTCAGGTTATAAATGCATTGTTCATCTGTTTATCCTCCACCAGATGCTTGAACATCACCACACGTATTGCAGGTCAACAGTCGTTGTGTTTCTTGACATTAAGGCTGCCTTCGATTCGTTGGACAGAGCTGTACTCTGGAATTGTCTGTTAGAGAGGGGCGTGTCTGAGAAATTTATTGACATCTTGAAACCCCTATATAACAATACCTCAGATAGAGTGAAGGCATACAATCACCTGTCTCCATTGTTCTAAACCAGCAGATGGGTTAGGCAGGGTTGTTTGATTTTTCCATTCCTCTTTAACTTTGCCATCAATGACATTCTTGAGATAGCTCTGAAGGATGTGCGTGACGGTGGTGCAGATATGCTACTCGGAGAACGGCTCTTTGACCTTGAATATATGGATGATACCATCTTACTGTGTGATAACATATAGGCTATTCAAATTGCATCTAATCAGCTGTCGATTAATGCCCGTAAGCATGCCATGCGCCTCGCACCATTGCAAGATTGGCAGGAGCCTGTACCTGTGCTCACCGTCGGTGGTGAAGTATTGGAAGTAGTCGAAAAGTTCGTGTATCTAAGCAGTTACGTGAGTCCTGGTGGAGGTGTGGGTGATGACATTTCTAACTGCACATCGAAATCCGGAGTGGTATACGCCAACCTGGACCACCTTTGGTGCCGTCGCGATGTTAGTCTGACGGTAAACAGTCGCGTTTACAACGCTTTAGTGCGAGAAGTTCTACTCTACGCCTGTGAAACCTTGCCTTTCCGAGCTGAGAATGTGCGACGACCCTGTGTGTTCGATCATCGTTGTCTCCATAGGATTGCTCGTATCCGGTGTCAACACTATCTAAGTAATTCTGAGGTACGACAGCGTGTGTTTGGGCATGATGGAGATTGTCATTCAATAAGTGAAGTCATCTGAAAATACCAGCTTTGGTGGCTTGGACATTTGTTATGCATGTTGTTCCAACGCCTACCAAACCGTTTATTGTTTGCTAGCCCTGAGACTGGATGGAAGAGGCGGCGAGCGGTGGTTATTGTATGACGTGATGCCGTGGAACAAAGGATAGTTGTATTGAGTTAGCATCTGTTAGTCCACCACGACTCCCTGGATGGGGTCCGAGGGATCACACAACTCAGTGGCTTGAGACACTGTCAGATTTGGCTAGTAATCAAAACCAGTAGCCACGGCGCTGTAGCTTCCTTCCATCTTTTCTGCGGAAAAGTAATGAACGTTTTGTTTTGAACATATCTTACTGGACTGGCCTTCTAATCATTCTATTCTAATTGTGTTTTCCTTTTTATTCATCCACTTCCTATCGCTTTATGTTTCCATAACATTTTTATATTATCTTGTGTGGTGCATTCGCTGGTGCCCTTGTTGTGCCATGTTAGAGGTCGAATGATAACAATATTAGGAATTATAAATCACATGTGAGTATGTTTCGCTTCTTGAAGACCGAAATAATCAGCGATTGAAATCAGTGCGGTTAGATCACTTCTGAATTCCATACACTTCGGTTAAGATAAGCACTTATTCCCGAGGGCATTCTCAAACACCTCTGATGATAGCTCATCGGCACCTTTTATTGTTCTTTGTTCTACGTTACTTACATCATTCTCAACCCCGCCAGGTGTTGGACGGCGTACCTTATTGTTCCATTCAGGATCTGGATAACGGGATAACAGTTATGAACCATTCAGATTGTTCCTCCAAGTGTGCCACCCGGTGTTTCAGTAACGTTCGTGTGAGTGAATCATGGATCAGTCTTTCTCCGCTTTGGTCTCCTTAACCATTTTCTTTCTGAATCGAGTTTGCTTGATGACTATAAATAACTGTCAAATGTTAGCAAAGATGAAGGAAGCATGTAAGTTAAGTGAGGCAACTTCAAAAGATAGCTTACAAAACCAATATCTTAGGAAATGTAGAAGGAATTCCCATTTTAATAAACGAATACAACTCGAAATAGTGTTGTGTGCCGTCAAATGAAGTGAATATTTATGGGCCAATCATACGGACCACATTTTGCTTTTGGAATGATTCGGCTTTCCTTAACACCAAAACAAACGAAAACGTTGTCAAATGTCTAAATCATATCGATTTAGCTAGTTATTATTTCTGGTTGATGAATGGTTTACAAATACTCACATCAGTTACTAGCGTGCATCTGACAACCTTCACAAGCATAATATTGATCAGATTAGTGGTATTGAGCAAACAAGTCAACACAGATTAGACATTTTGTTGTTACAAATAAAAAAGGTGAAATTCTATACTTAGATGTCACCTAAATGTATCATCCTCACTTAAAGCAGTGTCTTGTGCGAAATCTCATTTGATACATTTCAGGACTGTAGCATCTATTTTCCATTGCTTCCTTTTTACCTTGCAGAAACGATAAAAATCAGATAGATTTGTAGATAGCTCGCGGAAACATATTAAGTATTTAATGTTCTTTCGACTACTAAAAAACAAGTACAAAACTACCTACAACCACACTATATAACAACATCAAACCAGTATATGAAAGAGTAATCCTTAATATTTAGTCTCCTTGTAACGATTGAGAGATACCCAGCAAAATGTAAAGGTGTATTATCAAGACACTGATCATTTCTTTGAGCGATTCAACGCCGTTTTGAATGTTTTGTAGTTTCTAGTTCATTCAAGTATCTGACAGTATATTAGAAAGGTAGAGGTGAAAAAGACAGATACCAAGTGTCAAATAAATTTCATGCTTTTAAATTGAAGGGAAAAAATGACCGCCTTTTGTCAGCTTACTCGTCTAAACAACATATTAATTAATGAGTATATAATTCAGATATTTTGACCTTGAATTTGACAATCTATCGTAATCACGAAGTCAAAATATCAATCAGCCAACAAACTGAACACTTGCTGAAGATAAAAGAATTGCTGTCAGAGAATTCAGGGTTTGTACTAGTAACTACAGACAATCAAGAAGTTGGACTGAATTTCTCAGAGTGCCTTGAATTATCGGAGAGAATCGCAAATCAAAATATTCAGTAGAAAATATGTTCCATTCATTGTTCGTATATGTTTCATGCAGTGGTATTCATCAAAGTCATTAAAACCGGCTTCTTTAAGACCTTGTATGCATACATAATTTTAGTCAGAGAGTGCAACAAATTGTAAAACATACCAGATTACATACCCTTTTGCAATCTGCAAGAATTTATCATATGTAGCTGACTTTATCCACATTTCAGCATCGCGATTCAATCTTTCACCATACTGAGCTTCCAATTCATTTGATATTTCTATAAGACGACCGATCAGGGCTTGCGTTCTAAAATTTATTTCATTTAAGCGTTCATGATAAACTTACTCCATATCAGTCGAAGTTCGCCGGCGTTGAATAATGCCCGAGCTTTGTTTTAACTTCAATCTTACAAATTCTTCAAGTATCGTTTCTGTTTCCATTGTCTCTAAATTTTCTTCTTCAGTCTGATAAATAGTCACTGATTTGTCACATTGATCCGAAATAGAACAATCACCAGACATACTCTATGATAACAGAAAGGTATGATTAGGAAGTTATTTATAGTTTACAAGGTAATAAGTGAGGCATAATGAGAGATCATTAAAATATAATTAATTTTGAACAAATCTCCACACAGAAAACTGAATTTGAGGTAACGCAAATAGATAAATCTGTACTCTATATGTTACTAAAGTATGAAAAACGAATCCAGCTACGAATATCAAAGTAAAAGACTGTATAAAGTTCTACCCGTATGTGATTGCAGTAAAAACTAGTCGAAAATCCCTGTATTCGCGTTCCCTGGCATGCTTATCAGCTTTAAAAAGTATATCGATGACAAAATCTCCCTACTTATGTGACAAAAATTTCACTTATCATATATCAGTTAAAAATATTAGTTTCTGGCACCAAGTTAACACTGTATTTATAGTATTGTTTAATTCCTGCGGAGCAATGAAACCACCATTCTATATTCATTTGTAGTGTAAAAAGTAGACCAATTAAAAGCGATAAGTGAAGACCGAATGATAATGTTGGAGTCCATTTTTGATAAATGATAATTTTCACTGTCTTAACTACACTCGTAGTTGGAGAGAAATATTCGGAAGTTCAAGCCAAAACAATGATAAATACATCAAGAAATGAAACTGTTCATGTATACCATTATGAAACGAGTTTTTGATATAATGACATGAAGACTGATAAATACATTTGGCAAAGGTTGATGCATTCCCTAATGGTTCAGTAGCAAACACCCTATTTATACTGAGGTCGCTGGTTATACAATTTAAGATTATTCGTTTCATACCATTTTTTGCTTCATCTTTAGGTTTTACATGCCTTTCTGATGTAAGGTATCAGAAAATGTATAATCAGCTAGTTTTGTGTGAAGTTTAAAGTACGGCAACCAGGTTATTGAGTGGCTTTAAAGGCCGCTCTAGTAACACCTGTAACAACCAATTAAGTTTCTGTATTTCGGTTGGAATGAAGAATCTCACTGGTTATTTAGATGCTGCGAAGGTGGTCTTTAGAGTCACTCAAGTCACTTCTCACATCTCTGGAGCTGCAACTCATTGGCTTTCACAATAAATTCCAAACTGCAGTTCCCCCGCCTTAACCCCACCTGACCTAATTTACCTTTTGCAACTAGGTAGTTTCTTCACCCTCCAGACATTAAGCTCGGTTCACAGCCTACTACATAAACTTGTATCAGGTTGAGTTAAATTATTTCTTATTGCTCACATTCACATGCCCATTAAATATCTCACCTTATGAATTTGTGATTTTTTTTTTTGGTAAGACTATTCACCACCGATTTGGTAGGATTCACAGATATACCTCAGGATATTTCCTTTGACGGTTATATTACAAGAAATTTCAGAAAATGTATGGTGTTTTTCCACTACAAGAACAAAAGTAGTAAGTCTGAAGGCATAATGATTTTCTGATTACACGTTCCATAACGTTTACAAGTGCATCGCATTCCTTAAGAATCAAAAATAGCACTAAAAAAGAATTTATTTAGTGAAAAGACAATAGTTAGAGTATTTACACCTAGACTGATTTTCTTTCGATGTCCTCAAAGATATTTGCAAATGCCAGCTAAGGCAGATATACTTGCGTGACAGAATTATCATGGCTGCATTTAAGGAAGAGCTGATTATGCAGTTGGCAGAATATGACAGCATTACTCATTGTAAAGCAGTTTCTTATCATCTTCAGTCTACCGTGAAAGAAGCCGTAGAGATTGTAATTAACTTTTAAAAAGATCCAGTGGATCTTAGGAGCTTCACCCGAATAAGCGTGCCTTTGAAAGCATGCAAGCCGTTTGAATACAGACCAGTGGAGAGGCTGCGGTATGATCGTAAGTAGTGATGGAGGGAAAGGGGTAAGGAGATGAAGAAAACAGTAACGACAGGTGATATCTAGTAGTCGTTTAGAATCCTCCAACCAAGGTACTATGAAAAAGACATCGAAAATATAAGAAAAACAAATGATTCGACATGAATCTATAGATTAGCCTGAATGGTTTCTAAGTATTTTTGTCCAGTAGTATATTTCGTTAGTCTATGCAGTTGTTTGTTGCAGTTAAGCAGTGTTATTAACTGAATTAAGCTTCGATTACAATTTATTATTCTCAAGAATTTGGAATGATGAGCAGATTTTGAGAAACAATTTGGATGAAATTCAGCCTGAAAAATACATCGACAAAAAGATTTAAATACCTTAGTAATACTGAGAGCAAGATGAGCCGACTCACCACCAAAAAATGCTCACATATGGCTGTGCGTTCATAGCCTCTGATAGGGAAGTTCTACTCACTTTATTCAGATGACAGGGGTGTTTCAACAAAAACAATAGAGTGAGAGTGAATATCCGGCAATTATCCCCAAATTGACAGATATGGAGGGTCCACTTAGGAGGGGTAAAAAGTCTGATTTCGAACCGACGACATGTATGGGCTACAGACCCGACCCATAGCTGCTACCTTGATGTGGCGGTCGGGCTTGCATATCGCAATCACCCGACGAGCTGTGCTGGTGGAACACTTGTTCCCTCGAGGTCCTACCATACCAGAAAGGTCTGTTGGATAGTGGTAAAACGGAAAGTAGTTGCCGTTGTGGTGTAAATTACTACACTATGATGGGGGTCTGAGGGCGAAGTCGCACTGCTGCTAGCTAGATGGGGTGTGACAGCAGTCAGGTGTTTCCCTTGGATGACCAGTAGTGCCATGCTGATGTTGCCTTCTCAGTGGAAGGAGGGTTAGAAAGGGTTAGCCCCGAAAATAACACACACCATCATATCCCACGGTCTACCGGGTCGGCGGTGTTGGTTCACCTATCATTTCTTTTCGACCATCCGGCCCCAAAAATACAAAAGTTCAAAACAACTATACACAAAAGGCTGTGTGACAGGCCTCCAGCAGATGTCCGATGGGCTCTGAGGTCACACAAATCTCTTTCAGGTACCTTAAGAAGAAATGGCCTTCCACGGTGTGGGCAGCCGGGAAGTGTCAACCGCCCTCACAACTCTATCAGCACTCACGTCTCTTCAGACCGCTATCCACCCCCCCCTTCTAATCTTCCTTCACGTTTCTCAATTAACGACACTACATCATCTTCAATTTCTCCTAGCTCTACAGCCTTCGACAACGATCTGAATCCACAGAACAGCATACCAGGTCTCCTTAAACCACACTCCAAATTACACATTGGGGCCTTCAGGTTCGCACCCTCCGTCAAATTGGTCAACAGGCGCCATTGGCAAACATTCTAGCAACTCGGGTCATGGATGTGTGCCATGTTTGTGAGACTCACATACAGGACCCAAGTGAGGTCATTCACCTAACGTCTCCCGCCAATCTGATGAATGAACAAAATTCACCCTTCAAGTTTCTGGAGATTCGATGGCTAGCTCTCGCAGTTTTGCAAGTGTAGGCATAGCACTAAGCGGTAGGGCAGAAAACTCACTAGTACACTGGATCCTAGTTGATAGTCACCTCTGTGATGAACGGCTCAGTGAGAACTAAAAGGAGTAGTGAAACTCACCGCTGTCTCTTCGTAGTCTCTGCCTACCCACACCCGCTGACTGCAGTTCGGATGAAGTGAAGGACAAGTTCTACGGAAAACTATCTAGCCTCCTTTTGAAAGCCAAACGCTCAGATGGGGCGGTTGTTGCAGGTGATTCCAATGCACAGGTAGGTAGACCGAGTGAGGCGGAAAGGCACTTAGGTGGCACTTTCGGAATCCCAGCTGAACGTACAGATAACGGTTATCGTTTACTATAACCGTGCTTAGGTAACCGCTTATTTTTAGTTAGCACAAATTTTAGACACTGTCTGACGTGGCGTCCACTGAGCTTAACTCAGCTATGGACACAGATAGACCACATTGCCATCAGTCATTGCTGGAGAGGATCGGTGGAAGACTGCCGCTCCTTCTGTGTTTGGATAGTGACCCCGCGTTGGCCCGAGAGCATATATGCCTGCGTCTCAACGGACGTAGTAAAAATTTGGCAACGAAACCATTACGAGTGCAGCTCGACAACGAAAATACCAGAGCCGCTTTCATTGAAAAACTGGCTAGGTCGCTATCGGAACAGAACACTATCACTCACCCAGTAGAAGCTTGGTGCTACCTCCAGTCTGCTGTGAAAGCAGCGCTGAAGACCGTAGCCGACTCAGAAAAAGCCACTAAAAAGAGCCAGTGAATATCAGCAGCTCATTCCGAACTAATGCATGCACGTGAACGTATCCCTGCAGGCTCTGAGTACAATGTAGAGAGAGCATAGCTTAAAGGTAGATTGAGAAAAAGTGTATGCAACGACCGCGAACAGTGGTGGGCAGCGAGGGCTAAAGAGATGGAAAAGGCAGCGGCGATTGGTAACAATAGACAGTTATTTAGACATATTAAGGAGACTAGGGGGAAAAGGTCAACAACGGTTAGTAAGACCATAGTGGAGAAGGACGGGTCTGAGATTCACTCGTAGGGCAGACAACTGGAAAGATGGGCAGAACACTTCGAGAAACAGTTTAACTGGCCTCCATCCACCACTGCGTTCCCTGCTATCCAGTCGAATCCTGAATAGAACGCTGAGATAGGCCCCCAACACTTCCAGAAGTGGAGAAAGCTGTAGGTAGCCTGAAACGAGGAAGGGTGGCAGGACCAGACGGACTAACTCAAAAGGTATACAAGGATGGTGATAAGGTGTTCTTAGTCAGGTTAACGGAAGTGTTAGCCAGTATATGGGAATCAAATACAATCCCCTCTGACTGGCCTAAGTCACTGATTATCCCAGTCTTCAAGAAAGGCGAGAAGTTCTCTTGTGATAACCACAGAGGAATCAATCTGACGAACAGTGTCTAAGAGTCTAGATCCTATAATTCTTCGACGCCTTAGTGGTGCTCGGGAACAGCAAGCCTGAGAAAAACAGGCAGGCAGGCAGGCAGGCTTTAGACCTGGCCGCGGGTGTATCGACCAAATATTTGCACTGCACCAGGCTCTGGAACACAGGCAAGCTTACC